TAACTGGAAATGTTCTCATATTTGAACAATATGTAAAATGTATGAATATTTCCAAGCAGCTATTCGATAGGTATTTCGACAAGTCAACTTGAGGCTGTCGTGGGCATTGAAATTTAAAACAGTGCTCGGATTCTCACTTTCCGATAAGTCGAGGGCTCAGCGATGAATCAGTAAAACATGGTGATGTGGGTGAGTATAAATGTCGATAGAGAGCAAAACTCTGTACACATTCACACCCCCACCCAAACAGATATCTGTCGTCTTGTATATTCATTTTTATTATTGTTTTTGACAAAAAAGCTAACTATACAAAAGAAAACCGTACACAATGAAAAAAATCTTGTATTTATTATTTACAATGTTATTTGAAATTAGTAGATTTACCTCGATTTTTTTTGTTTACTATTTCTTTCACTAATAATAGTATTAAATACAGTTTTTCTCCACATTTTTTAATCTAATAATATCCATACTTTAATTATTCGTCTTTTCAAATATTAGTAAGGTTCATCACATCGAGTTCACATGTGTTTAGACTTTTTGTTTTGCATTTTTGTAGGTATAAAAAAATTTTGAATAATGTTTAATGATTTTCTCGCATTTATATATCTTTCTTATTTCTTAAGCCAGAATTTTTATTCTTATACACAATACATATTTTAAAATACTATTTAAAATTACTCTTTTTGATGAAATTAACTAACTGCAAAGTTGTATTAATCGGAAAATTTTTGGAAACTTTTCCCTCTATTTGTAAAATATTGCCATATTTCTGCGCTCTCATTGATTTTCCGATTCTGTCTTCACTATTCCGTCAAGCATCTCTTAGACCGTTCTACCCATCGGTTGTAAATCTTTTACATTACATTCCTAATGGTCTAGGATTTCTGTATTCAGATACAAGTACTGCAATATGTTTTTCCAATTTAATTAGCTGTCTTATGAATCTAACTATGATTGAGAAGTTCAAATATTTTCATGTGCATAGCGCAACTTTAGGATAAGACAATTAAAAAGTTTGCTCAAATTGAAGGAGGGGTGTGGGTGTGGGTTGGCGTGGGCATGGATGTGGGGTGCGAGTGGGGGCGGTTTTGAGTGTGAATGTTCGTCCTCATTCGCTCATACTCACACCCACCCACCCTCACCTAAACATCATTAGAAAATATATTACGATGTCTATGAGATGCATTTTTGATTGCGTGTGAAAACGATTTGAAAACGGGGTAACACCGGCAATCAGAGCAATTGTCATTTACGCTGGGCCGTAATAGATATCGTTTGTAACTGTATTTCTCTGTTTTAGGTTGTATTATAAACGATCATCGGAACGGAAGCCATTTTTCATCGTTTTCGACTAATTTACGGACCTTTTTATTCTATATGGATTGATCTTATTTCTGATCAATAGAATATTTCTCTGTTTCTTTCAATTAATCGTATTATTTCTAAGTGACGATCATCTTTTTATATGTCGATAACATTCTTTTTGAAAAATAATTTCCAATGATCAATTATAAATTCTATTTCATTGAATGATTTAAATGACAATAGATTTAAGTTAATTAAATCTATTGTTCAATCTTTATAAAGTTTGCAAAGATCAATTATAGTTGTTTTCTATTCGATTCTTATAACTAAACGTTTGTAATTTCCAGAATTGAATTGCAAAAAAGAAATTCTTGTTTTCTGTCTTGTATTGGCTCTACGAAAAACCAGGTCATGATTCGAAGTCCTGCTTTCTTAATTTCACATGTTTAATTAGATAAGAATCGATTTATTTTTCTATTCAGAACTTGTATTGATACATATAACTATTTCTAAGTTTGGCTCGGAGTTTCTCATGAAAAAAACTATTAAATCTTATGTAGTTTATCCATTATGAATTTTAAAACATAAGCCACCACATAATCACTTCTACATCGTTTCTTAAACATGATTTTTGCCTTTTTTTCTTCTTAAATTGATTATGAACTTTTTATTACGAATTTTTCACCTAAGTGATTATTGTTGACATCTCGCACTATTAATGTTTGTGTCAAAAAGATTATAGATTAGTCAATATAAGAATAGTTTGCTCTATGAAATGCAAAAAAAAGATTTTTTTATATAGAATAAATAACATTCTTGTTAGGAAAAATCATCTATAATTTAGAAGTATTGCGCATTTTTTAATGGGTTAATTTTATTTTTACTTTCAAATGAAGAAATGATTCAAGAAAATAAACATTAAACAAATATTCTATTTGTCATTCATAGTATTTGTTATAATAATCATTATAATATAAAGATTGATATAAAGCATAAGTATATAAACATAATATAGATTAGATAATTTTCAATTTTCGTAGATTACAAGTTCGAAGTGTGGCTGTGGGTCTGATTGCTCTATTCATTCGAACCTACATCCTTTTCGAGATAATGTTCATATGCAAAGCAACTTTCTATAAATAGTACGGCGCAAATTTTGATAATTGTGACGTACGCATTCATAAGCGCATCGTGTGATTTAGAGATATTTGCATATGCTTTACAAGTGCACTGGAAGACAAGAAAAATAGTCCACAACTATATCTACAAGTCAACAGCAAGCTCCTAAAGCCGTTCGGCACAACAGGACGGTCTCTTCTAATGACTACTGATTTGAATTCACAATAAGTTCTATGTAAGATTTTCAGGCAGACAAGAAAAAATCACTTTTTCATACTAAACAACATGGAATTATGTTTAATTAACTTGTTTTTTTTGAAAATTCTACTAAGAAATAAAATCAGATTCGTCAATCTTTTTCAGCTGATTTGGAAGAATTTTGTAAAAAAAACAACGTGAATGAAAAATCCGATCTGTTTGATTGAAAAATTTATATTTATTCGATTGTTACCAAAATTTTTCTTACATTGACTGTCCATATCATACGCATCGTTCAATTTACAACATAGAGAAAACCAAACAATGTTATTACTTTGTTCATTTTCTAGTTAATTTTCGACAAAATCATAAATAGTTTTTGTTGTTGCAATAATTCCGTTGGGTAACCAATAGGATCAATGATACTGGAACCAGAAATGCAAGAATATATTTTGCCTGCTGAAAGTTTCTCGAACTACAACATATGTCACACGAATACACGGATTTAGTCAGCGGTTTAAACTGTTTCTCAAGAGAAAAGTTACTCGTATAGTTTACGAGAAAAATAATGCTGTACAAGTAAAAAACGTCATTTTCGTAATGTTGTACTACATGAAGAGAATCCTAGTTAAAGGCCTCTGCAAATATGAACTGAGGGTAGAAAAAAATAGTGACTTATGGATTTTTGGATAAGTATCTGCATGTTGTTGACTAAACAAATGAGTCAAGTGAACATAATCAGAACGATTAAGTATTAGTCAATAATAACATTTGATTAGTATTATGTAACTACTTATATCGATGCTTATGACAACTTTTTGTGTTCTCAAGACACTGATTCACATTCTTATCGGTGTCATGTGGCCTCGCTTTATTGAATTTGCAAAACAAATGCGCAAAATGAATGGGATCTCTAGTATTGTATATTCCAATTTATTTTTATATACTTTGAAACATTAGATGGAACAACAAGAACAGCAACAGCTAAAGCTTGTTAAGAATCAGATCAATTTTCATCGAAAATCTATGTTAGACCGTGCTTCAAATGGACACATCTTTGTTTTATCCTAAGTAAAATATATCTTTCGATCAACACAACTAGCAAAAATGGGATGTGTGCTTATGTGGCAAAGCTCATGGCAAATATTTTTGCCTTTCTCGATCATATAAAAAAAGAAGCTTCGGTCTTATATCAGACTACTTAAGTCTTGTTTTTTTGCAATTAATTATGAATTATCGATTGATAAATATCGTGCTAATTTTGCTACATATTAGCTCGATATTTTCACAAACATTGTATGAATGTGATCCACAAGCAGTTCCTTGCGGTTGCGGCTATATCGATGTATTTACAAATGCGCGTATTGTCAATGGTGAAGAAGCAATACCATTCAGCTGGTCAATGGTTGTCTCACTCCGATATGATTGTGATTCCGATGGTACTTCAAGTCATTGCTGTGGAGGAACTATTCTCTCCGATTCATACATACTCACAGCGGCACATTGTGTGTATTCACTACAGAATTCATCTCTTGAAAATGTCACGATCGCTGCTGGTATTCACGAGCAATCTGACATCTCTCCAACCATTCGAAATGTGGATAAGATTATTATTCACCCAAACTATATCGGAGCACCAAGTAATCTGACACATGACATAGCAATCCTACATCTCTCTGAACCACTCGGCCTCAAAACGAACTTGTACATTGCACGAACCTGTCGACCACCACGACTAGACAGACCAGAGGAGGCCGTAAACTATCCTTCAAATGGTACTAATTTGATTGTCGTTGGATGGGACCGATTATCAACTTGGGGCGAGTTGCCCAACGAACTGCAACAGCTGAATCTATATTCTATTCACCACAATGAGCCGACCTGTGCCAACACAATTCATGACAATCATTGGCAATTCTGTGCCGGAGTTTACGATGGCGGCAAAGGTACTCCTTTTACTATCGTCTATCAACTTCATCAAAATTTTCTTAATTTTGTTCATTCATTTTAGGTCATTGTTTCGGTTCGTGAATCGTAATTCTACATTGTCTGTCATTTATCATGTTTCTCGATGCATTTTAGGAGATTCTGGCGGACCAATTTTTCGATGGATTGGCGATCGATGGGAACAAGTGGGTATTGTCTCGTACGGAAAGAGAGGCTGTGCATCATCTGAACATCAGGCTGTCTTCGTTCGATTAGCTCTCTACTACGACTGGATCAACTCCATTACAAACGAAACGCCAAAACCAACACCAACAACATACACATGTGACAACACCTTAGTGTCGTGCGGCTGTAGTTATAATCATGTTGAGCTCACCCCATCTAGAATTGCGGGTGGTGAAGAGGCAGTACCTAACAGTTGGTCAATGATGGTTTCTCTTCGACTACCAATTGCCAATCCCCACTTATGTGGAGGTTCTATTCTATCAGATTCTTATATTCTCACAGCAGCTCATTGTGTCGATACCCTTTCACCTAATGACCTATCTGTTGTTGCTGGTATTCATAATAAATCCGACCAAAATGGCGTCATCCGTCAAGTTGATCATATCTTTGTTCACCCCAACTGGTCATCGCCTGAAAACCTTCATGATATTGCAATTTTACGCTTATCTCAACCACTTGAGCTTGCTGACAATTCATTACTTACAAGAACCTGTCTACCACATGTTCACTGGCTAACCATCATCGAACATTATCCATCAAGTGGCACACGTTTAGCTGCAATCGGCTGGGGTAATAGAAACAACAGCATACTTGATAATTCACCAGACAATCTTCATCAAGTTCAAGTATTTTCCATTGACAATAATGATCCAAATTGTATTGAATCACTCCATGACCCAGAAATACAATTTTGTGCTGGATTGCAGCAAGGTGGCAAAGGTTGGTTTCAATTCATATCCATATTTTCTTTATGATATTTATCTTTTCTCTCATCTATTCCAGATACTTGTCAAGGTATGCATTACATTCATGCACTATTGATTGCCGACAAAACTTTTCATTTCATTAGGTGATTCTGGTGGACCGATTTTTCAATGGCTCAATAATCGATGGGAACAGGTAAAAATATCTTAACATAATAAATATTATCTTGAACATGAATCTTTCCATTTCCATTTGATCTTTTTCACAGGATACTAATGAACGGAAAATTCGCACACTCTATCCAATTTTGAGAACATTTACGAGAAAACAATATAATTTATTTATTTTGTATGATTTCAAGTGAATCATACAGATTTGGAAAGAGTGTTTTTAGCAATTCGACGAGATCAAGTTCGATGTATGAACCAGATATTGAAATATGCATTAATTTTCATCGAAAATGAGAGATTGCTTATTGATAGAATATCGTCAGAGATTTTGAAAAGCGTAAACTGAATGTATTTTGACCAGTAAACATAGCATGAGTAACATAATAAAGCAAAATCTCAGCTTCCAATCTTTAATATATGAGTCATAAGAACCATTGGAGTCTACCCTATCGTAAATGTTAATTTCCTGAAACATTTGATAGTTTTGAAAATGTTCTGTGACAAAATCAATCCATTATCATTGAATGAGGATAGAAGAAGAGAATAACTCTTTATTCCAATTGCTTCGAAATGCGAGCTTACCTGGCGGGGAAAACTACTGGACGTCGATGATTATAGTGTCGAACTATGATTGAGACGATTTGGTTTTATTATGAAAGAACTATATTTTCAGGTGGGCATAAGAAGTTTCAGTAAAGGATGTGCCATCGCAGGTAATCCAGGTGTTTACACACGTTTAGCTTACTACTACCACTGGATTCGCTCAATTGTGGTCGACACCAACGTTCAACCACCACTGACGTACACATGTGACAATGCAAAAACGTCATGTGGCTGTGGCTATAAAAATGTTGAACTTACACCATCGAGAATCGTTGGTGGAGAAGAAGCAGTACCCTACAGCTGGTCATTCATGGTCTCCATACAGGGTCGTTCGTCCAAAAGTCACTTTTGTGGTGGTTCAATTTTTTCCGATTCCTATATTCTCACAGCAGCTCATTGTGTTGAGGATGAAACAGCGGATAATATACAAATTGTGGCTGGTGTGCATAATAGATCTGACCCAAATGGTGTAATACGTGAAGTGGATCATATCTATGTACATCCGGGTTGGTCATCATCATCGAGTGAACGTCGACATGATATTGCAATGTTACATTTATCACAACCACTGGGACTTGCTTCAAAGCCATTGTTAACGCCGATTTGTGTGCCGAATGTTCAGTGGTCAACCAATGTTGAAAGTTATCCGAGCAGTGGTACACGTTTAGCTGCAATCGGTTGGGGTAATATAAAACAGAGCTGGAGTGATAATTCACCAGACAATCTTCATCAAGTTCAAGTATTTACGATTGATAACAATGATCCAATTTGTAATAAATCACTCTATGACACACAAGTACAATTTTGTGCTGCACTCTACGAAGGTGGCAAAGGTTAGTTTGAATCCATTCAAATTTCTCTTTCTTATGCTTTCTTTTGGTTTTGTTATTGTTTGTGTAGATACTTGTCAAGGTATGTATTCGATAGTTTGTTTGTATTTAAGTGATTTCGTGAGATTCTATTTGAATAGGCGATTCTGGTGGACCAATCTTACAGTGGTTGGGCGACAGATGGGAGCAGGTAAATATATTTACAAGTAAATAGCTATTAAACCGTTTTGAAAAAGTTGAACCATTCCTGTAGAATTGGTGGCACAGAAAGGGAAACACGAATTTCGTCGTACTGACTTTCGCACTTGACTTTCGGCAATGGCGAAGGTTGTGTTTTTGTAGAACTTTCGACTGTAAACAGGGGGGACCTTTGGCAATAGCCAATAGTTCACTTTTGGTAATTATCAGACGTCTTGTTAAAAAATATTAGTCAACTAATTAATCATAGTAAAGAAACTATACTTTTGTCAATTATTTTAGTGAACTTTGAGCGATAGATGATCCCGAATTATTATAAAAGCGTACTTAGCATCTTGATACATTCTCTCACACACCTCTTCCATGATCAATTCAAACTGTATGTGTTATTAGACGATATAATCACTCATAAAGTCTACTAATATTGTTTAAGGACTTTCGGAAACTTTAAATCGCACAATGCCCAAAGTGTGGTTTCTTTACTGTAATTAATTAGTTGATTAATATTTTTATTAAGATCTCCGATAGTTGCCGAAACTGAACTATTGGCTATTGCCAAAGATCCCTCCTGTTTACAGCCAAAAATTTTACAAAGACACAACTTTTGGCAATTGCCGAAAGTCAAGTGCGAAAGTCAGTACGACGAAATTCATGCTATCCCACAGAAAGAATGCTTCTTTCACCGTAGGTGTAACCGTTGTATTCGGATTCGTTCCAAATTCAATAGCACTTCTAAATAAGAAAGCTTTCAACGTAATCTGCACGGGAGATAAATTTTAAACAAGACCGAGCAGCTTTTGTTGTACATGAAAACCCTCGCTATGTTCATCACATCATGATCCACCAGAAGATCAAAGAAGTAGCAATGAGAATGTTGGTCATGATCTGTGGGACGGAGGTTACGGCGGACTAAGATTCACTTTTCTCACTATGTACTTAAGGACTTATTTCCACTTGTGTTTGCCACAATAGTAGGGAGAAAAAACTTTTCACCTGTTACATTTGCTCCTCCGTGACAGCGAAAAGATACTATATCCTAACCAATAAGGTGTGATCTTTGACATTGGAGTATTGTCAAACTTCAGCAAAAATCATTTCTTTCTAGTAACAAGCATTTTCCTTTAGGTTGGTATTACAAGTTTCGGTAGAGGCTGCGCCGTGAAAGGCGATCCTGGTATTTATACACGGTTAGCCTACTATTACGATTGGTTGAATTCAATCGTGGCCGAAAACATAACCAAACCGAGAGAGAAATATTCATGTAATAATGTATCACAGCCTTGTGGATGTGGTTATAATAATGTTGAGCTCACACCATCAAGAATTGTCGGTGGTGAAGAAGCAGTACCCTACAGTTGGTCAATGGTAGTGTCTATCCGATCTCGTTTATCCAGTCGACACTTTTGCGGTGGCTCTATTCTATCGGATTCATATATTCTTACGGCTGCCCACTGTGTTGAGGATGAAACACCAAATACAGTATCAGTTGCTACCGGCATGCATAATAAATCTGATCCGCATGCTGTGATTCGTGACGTTGATAAGATTTATATTCACCCGGGCTGGTCATCGTCATCGAATGAAAATCGGAACGACATTGCTATTTTACGTCTATCACGACCACTCGGAGTTGAGTCAAATCGATTACTGAAACGAACCTGCGTGCCACATGTTCAATTACCTGTCCATGTTGAAAATTATCCGGCCAATGGTACACGCTTAGCGACGATCGGCTGGGGTCGTACAGAAATGGGTAATAGTACAAGTTCACCTGACAATCTTCATCAAGTTCAAGTCTTCACGATTGATAACAACGATCCAATCTGTAATAAATCACTATATGACACACAAGTACAATTTTGTGCTGCGCTTCATGAAGGTGGTAAAGGTTAGTTTCAATCCGTTCATGTCTCTCACTGTGATAGTTTCGTTTTCGTCTCTTATTGTTTGTAGACACTTGTCAAGGTACGTATTCTGTAGTATATTATAGATTGTCGTTATAAGTTCTAGTTGTTTAGGTGATTCTGGTGGACCCATTTTTCAATGGCTTGGTGATCGATGGGAACAGGTAAAAGTTGTGCTAAATAATTTTGTACAAAACAATGCCATTGAGAAGAAAAATTGCTCAAGTTGTTTTGATTGTATGAAATGATTGAATAGGATTCGAGTTGGTAGTTGTGACTTGAAAATATAGGGTAGAAAATGCAAAATATGCTGAGGTATTTGACTTGGAACTGCTAATGCAAGAATTCATATAATCAAAGAATGGTTTGTATTTGCTTTGCTTAGGTTGGTATAACAAGTTTTGGTGTAGGTTGTGCTCTTCCACGCCAACCTGGTATTTATACACGATTAGCTGCCTATCACGAATGGATCGTATCAATTGTAAGTGATGTCATTTCACCGGAAGTGACAGATACTACTACTGATACAACTTCTGTGACGACTGGAGAATCTACAGAATCATACGACTGTTATGCAACAACATCGACGTGTGGGTGCAGTTGGAATAATGTGCAAATCGGTTCATCGCGTATTATCAATGGTGAAGAAGCAATTCATAACAGTTGGACTATGGTGGTTTCAATTCGTCTAAATAGTTCTCCTTATCATTATTGTGGCGGCACAATCGTCAATGATTCTTATATTCTTACAGCGGCTCATTGCGTAGATGGTTTATTTCCATCAAATCTATCTGTTAGAGCTGGTGTGCATAATCAATCGAGTACAATGGGATATGATCGTCGAGTCGATCGTATTGTGATTCATCCAAAGTGGATTGCATCGGATCGTACCTATCGAAATGATATTGCTCTATTGCACATTTATCCGCCACTGGTACTTGATGTTTGGATTGATTTGGCTCAAACATGTATACCCAAATTGAACTCATCAGTCAACATTGTTAATTATCCACTGGTTGGTACACGTTTGGCTATTGTCGGATGGGGTTCAATACGAACTGAAACAATTATGTTACCGGATAATCTTCGACAAGCACGTGTGTTTGCTATGAATAATGAAGATCCAAGTTGTCAACGAGCGATTCATGATGTCAGACAACAATTTTGTACTGATTCGTTCAATTTAATTAAAGGTTTGTTATTCACTCGCATATTGTGTGCATTGAGATCGAATTTTATGAGTTTTTTTTTCTAAATATTTTTAGGTCCGAGCCATGGTATGTAGAAGATTAGGAAAGAGAAATTTCGATGTGTTCTTTAATTCATGTTATAGGCGATTCTGGTGGCCCAATTATGGAATGGAAAGGCAATCACTGGGAACAGGTCAAACAAGTCATGTAAAAGTTTGTTTGTTCTTCGATATTTTCGTTCTAGGTGGGCATCATTAGCTATAGTGGTTTTCCAGTGGACGATCGTCCGGCGATTTATACACGACTTGCCTATTATTCTGATTGGATTGAATCTGTTGTCAATGCATGGCCGAATACTTCCACACCATTACCACATGTTGTCTATCAATGTAATCGAACATCAACATGTGGTTGTGGTCAAAATGATGTTGCTCTGTTACCATCTCGGATTGTTGGCGGTGAAGATGCTGTCGAAGCTAGTTGGTCAATGATTATTTCACTTCGTTTTCCTGAAACATCTCATCGATGTGGTGGAACACTCTTATCTGAATCATTCATTCTCACTGCTGCTCATTGCGTTGTCCAATTGTCAATCCAAAGTGGAATGAATATCACTGTTGCCGTTGGTATGACAAATCGATCCGATCCAAGACAAATCATACGAGAGGTCGATCAGATCTACGTACATCCAAATTACACAAGTCAAACTCGTGAGTATCGTCATGATATTGCTCTTTTACATGTCAAAACTCCATTCGTCTACACTAATAATCCACTGTTGGCAAAATCCTGTATTCACAAAATCGATCCACCTGCATTGACCATACAACATCCGAGAAATGGCTCACGTTTGGCCGTAATTGGATGGGGTGTTTTGACAAGTGAAGGTTTCTCTCTACCTGAAATGCTCCAACAAGTTCAAGTCTATACAATTGACAATGATCATCCGGCATGTTTGGACTCTATTTATGATCCGCAAGTGCAATTCTGTGCAGGAATTATTGAAGGTGGCAAAGGTTAGTAAACAACGAGTTCAAAATTCGACCATGAAAAAATATTTCGCTTTTATCTCTTTCGATCTAAAGACAATAGTTCTTGTCATTGAAAGCGATCACACTGACGCCAATAGGTTTTAATCGAGATGTCACGAGAATATTTCAATGAAAATTATCCGAAAATTTTCATATGACGTAGATATCGATTAGTAGAACAACAAATATAAATTTTTCTTTACTCTAAATCTATCTATTCGTATTGATCTCTAATAAAAATCTTCGTATCAGAACTATTTAACTGAATCTATTAATCTTTTTTTTATTTTGTTTTTCAGATTCTTGCCAAGGTATGTTATTGTTTTTTTTCGAATTTTTCTTCATTCTAACTTCAACTAAATTGTTTATGTACAATTAACTATGCAGGCGATTCGGGTGGACCGATTTTTCAATGGACAGGACATTATTGGGAACAAGTAGGTATTGTCTCGTACGGATACGGCTGTGCAGATCCGGGTTATCCTGGCATTTATACTCGATTATCGTACTATTACGATTGGGTGAATGATATTCTTCAAAGTCAAGGCGAACATTTGGAACCATCGAATCAAATAACGAGACCCTCCAGTACAACGACAACCACCACTAGACAAACAACGACAACCACTAGACAAACAACGACAACCACTAGACAAACAATGACAACCACTAGACGAACAACAACAACCACTAGACAAACAACGATATCAAGCAATACAGAACCAATAGCAACTGAAGACACTACGATTAGTACCCGTCCATCTCCATTACCCTGTACAAGCAATGGAAACAAAAATTATCAAAATATGTTGACTGTTGAAATAATTCTTCTTATTGTACATGCTCTTTTTCTATATTACAGTGGATTTTGAATACATTCGAATCAATATAATGATCAGTTGTGGTCGCGGACGAAAAAAAATCGTAAAAGAAATATTAACTGATTGAGATTTTGTCATAGTTATTTCTAAGGAAAAGCGAGGTTTTCTTTTGGATGTAAGTCTTCTACTTTCTCACACCCACAAACCTTCTAGTAAAACACTGCGTAGATCGACAGAAGAATATCTTCACTATCGATTCTCTAACTTGAAACTCAGTGTTAGTTGAGAGAGGTTTTTTGAAAACTTGGATGTGGATGTTTACTTCATCCACTCTCACCCATAGCATTTCCAATACAATACATTTTAAGTTAAAATTCAACTTTACAATATAATCGAATAATTCAACAATGAAGACTTTTGTTTTTACATTTTTGTTTATTCAGATAATTACGAATAATAATAAATAACAATTCAAAAAACATATTTGATAATAATTATAGTCCTTGAAAAGAGAATCTCGATAAAAATGCATCTTTTTCATCCATAAATCGAACAGAAACCTTTTCAAAACGATTAATAAAATTTAAATCATGATTTGAATCGATATTATGTGATAATTCATGACAAGTAACCATAAAATAGAAATTAACTATCTTGCGAACAATTGGAGTTGATGATGATAACGATGTAGAATTTTGAAGATATAGTTTGAAATCATCGAAAAATACTTGTTCATAATAACGAAGATTGAAAAATAATGCACCATTACTGTTGAAAGCAATACGAGCTTAAGAGAAAAAAAAACAAATATATGATCAAATTGAATATGATTGTTTTATATGTATTTACCACTCTCAATATCACGAAAGAGATGCATTGTTTCTACCGGTATATTAAATACTTGTTTTGCAAGACCAGATAATAGCCAAGCAAGTTGTTTACCCTGATCAATTAAAATATTTGTTAATTTTACATTACGATCAATATAAAGAGGAATGCCATGAAAAAGTTTATCATAACGTATCATATTTGCAGCTGGAACAAATTCACATGAAGTATTATTTTCATTTCTAGAATGTTCTGTTTGATTAAATTCCATTTGAGAATATGATCGTGTTGTTCGAATCATTTTATCAATATCAGCATCATCTGTAGATTTATATCGTCCAAAATGATCAATACGATTTCTTTCAATCGTACTTGAAATATTCTCAACAGATTGACTTTGAGAAGGAATAGGAAGAGCAGGAGAAGAAGAAGAAGAAGAAGGCAATTGAATGGGAACCAACAAGCTAAATAAAAAGAATTCATTACTATTGAAGGTCTATAAATGTATGTGAGTTTTACTAAAACATTGAATTTATATACCGACATCTTCTCTTCCTCAGCCTTTTATTGTGCTATCCCTAACTTCAATCTCTACTGTGTTACTCATAAGAAATATTAATGATAATCAATCAATTAATAAAATATCTTACTCTTTTAAACTTTGAAAAAGTCCGCGTGGAGTTTGTAAATTTTGTTGATACTGTTCTTGTTGTTTATTAAGTTGCTTTTGAAATTCTTGTTGATGATACTGTTGGAGTTTTTCAACTTGAAGTGTTTGTTCTTGCTGTTGCAACGCTTGTTTTTGTTTAGGAATAACTTGTTCTTGAGATTCTTGTTGATGACATCGTTGAATTTGTTGTGCTTCTGGTTGTTGCTGTTGTACTGCTTGTATTTGTTTATTCTCCTCCGTTTTTATTTGTGGAATTTGTAACGATAATTTAATCGCTATAGAAAAATCAAAAATTTTTAATTCTTAACAAATAAAATAAAACAAACATTACGTTGTTGTTCTGGATTTTTCAGTAATCGATCGACAGGAATTCCACGTCGTTTAAGTGTTTCTAATGGAGAAGCAAGTTTATCACTGATGGAATGAACTAATGTATCAAGTGGTTTTTTATACACAAATCGTGTTAATTCAGTAGCAATATCAATGTAATCAAGTGTAGGAATATCTTTGTGAATATATAAACATACTTGATTTCTTTCATATTCAAGTGCGCATGAACTACATTCTGTAGACTTTAATTTGAAAAAAAACGAATATTTTATTATACTATTTGAATAAAAAAAACCTTACACTTAATGTTATAGTTCTGTTTTGAAATGTTAATTGACATTGAATTCCTTCAGCTTCATAAATAGAGAATTGTTTTCGTAATAATTCAATACGTTTTTCATCAATATTTTTCATACATTCTCCCTAAAACAAAAAATATTTTTATCAAAATAATACTTGAAATATTGAAAAGATGATTACTCTATTATTAACAAATAACATATCTAAACGATGATGAATTCGATCACGTAATTTTTTACTTCTATCTGTTATAATACATTTTCCTGAAAAAAAAAAAACAAAAGATAAAAATAATTTTTCTGCATTTATTTTTGTAAATATAAACCTCTATGCACTAATGTTCGTTTAACACATTCTGATATCCATTTTGAACCAAATTTTTCATATAATTTTATTAATTCTGGTTCATCAGGTGCACACAATGGTCGAAGATCAATAGCAGATTGATGATCATCATCTAAATAAATATCACTGGGTTTGGCAATTTTAAATATTTGATATTTTGTTCCATCAGATCGTTCAAGAGCTTGATAAGCTAAACACCATGGTTTATTAATTAAACGACTACGTAATGGTTCAACATATAATTGTTGTGTTACATTTGATACAGCAGATAATTGCTTTAAACAATTTGTATAAAAACGTACTTTAGCTGATATAAGTTCTTCATTATTATCTTTATTTTGATTAAAATATGTTTGTTGTCGTTCAATAAGTAGATCAGCAAGATTTTCTGCTGATGGATAATGAAGCACTCCTATACTAAGAAGAAATGAATTAGCTTCAGGACCATAATCTATATAATCAATAAGACCACGTGCTGCTACATCATCAAATGTATTATTATTATTATTATTATCTTGAGATATTTTATCGATTGTTGAACTTTTTGAACGAATAAATACTTGAGATGGTTTAACATAGATATTGGTTTCTTAAAAAAATATTGAATTTTATATTTTGATTATTAATTAAAATAGAAAAACAAACAAACCTGATAGAGGAATAAAAGGAATATTTGAAATTTTTTGAATAAATGTTGTATTAAGACCATCTAATTTATTAAAATAAGTAAAATATTTTGTAGCTGTTTGAAAAGTTAATAATTGATTTCTTTTTTCTATTAAAGCATCAAAAGCTATTGACAAAGACGGATGATTTTTAACTCCAAGTAAATCAATATTAAAATATCGCGAAAAACATCGAATTACATCAGGAAGTAAAGATGGAAATAATGGACTTGGTTCTATTTTTTTCACAAAAAAAAATCTCAAATTAATATAAAAAAAATAAATTAAATCTAACAACAAACCTTTAAAAACAGTTTCAGGTGTTATTAATACAACTTCTGTTGAATGATTAACATCAGGAATAGATGATGGAAGAAAAGGCTTTTTAATTTTTGATTTTTTCCATAATTTTGAATAATGTTCTTGAAAATGTTCTGCAAAAAATACAAGCGACTTTGGTAATTGATAATCAGTTTTTATTTTTGATCCATTTTGATGTTCTTCATCAATGCGATTAATTAATTTATGCAAATCTGGTACTTCTCGAACACCAAGTTCTTTAAGAAAAGAATATTCTTGCGAATGTGGATCAATATCTATCCAATCGATTATTAATAATTCATTCCATTTAAGACGCTTTGCTACTGATGGAAAATGAAGTTCACTAGGTTTATATTTATGCTTTATTTCATCGTTTAATCCTAATGTTGTTCCTATAAAACAAAATGAAAAAAAAAAGAATTCATAGAACTTATTTCTTAACAAAAAAAAATGAACAGCTGTTAACATGATTCTTGCGAGATTAAGGGCCCCCCCCCCTCAAAAATCGATCTCAGCCCAAGTACGTTCAAATGGGCTGAAATTTGGAGTATATGTTGGGGCTGAAGTGAGGATGCTGTGGTAGAATTTTCAGCTCGATACCTTGACGTTTAACAGAGATATGAACCAAACACGGGTCAAAAATTGCTCATTTCAGCGCCAAAATTTCTCTGTGGACTCTCATTATATATATATATATATTTTGTTGTTGTTTGAAAGCTTGTCTCTAGGGCTAGCCCCTCTCATGGCCCTTTTTTCTAAATTCTTACTTTTTAAGCGAAGAAAAGGAGTGACAAGTTCAATGACTCAAAAACCCCCGAAAAAATGACGCTTTTGCTATGAAGATGTGTTCTTATATAATAATAAAAAGCCTTTTTTAAAAATCGGGCCACGAGAGGGGCTAACCCTAAACACGAGCTTTCAAACAAAAAAAAATATATGACGTTATATTGAACAGTGGTCGAATGGCGGTGGCGCTACGTCGTCGAACCTACCTTCTGAGAAAAATAAAAAACGATTTTCGGTTTTNTAGTTTTATTGAAATAAAACAAAAAAACATATTCTTCATCATAGACAAGACAACATGGAATTGTTTGCTTTTTCTTGGCATACAATAGTACTTAGGACTAACCGAAAGTTCTAAGCCCTGTATTTACAGGACCTCGTGACATAAGGTAATCTATTCAGGAATGAGAAACCAACTATATCATATTGTAAAGCATTTTCAGATGCTTCGAATCGTATATAGTAAATCTTGTTTTGATAAAACTTTCAAGGAACTAGAATCAATTTACTGGTAGACGACTACATGCTCATATTCATACTGACATCCAAGTATGATATGTTTCTGAATATTTTGGTCTTTGATATTAGTCGAAAGTATTTGTAAAATATTTTTTTGGTCACATATAATTTTGTAGTTTTTGACGGACTACAACTTTATATACGTAGCATCTTCGATAATCTTGTCAGTATAAGTATGGATGGATATGAATGTAGGTGGATGTGGGTGTGGGTGGGAGCTAAGACAAGACTCATTCCGACGCCTACACCCACCCCACACCCCAACAATAAAAGATCTAAAAAGATATTTTCTACCGCTACGATAATAGCGCCGCAATGGCCATCTTTTTTGAGTTACTGAAGAACAACAGATGTTGGTGCATCAGTTGTTGTTGGTACTACAGCCAAACCTGTTGAATATTGTTGAGTTTAACAATCAATCAACTCAGCTACAACAACATAATAGATCATCATCTAAAAAATGACATTCTTCTCGCGTTTATTTAGTGTTTTGTTATCTTTATTGACGATTCGTTTTATTGTTATTGATATTGAATTCATAATAAATAATATAAAAAGCTTTTAGCTTATAAAACTCAATGTTATCTTACGATATCTTTATCGTTTAAAAAAATAAAAGAATTTCTTGTGTTGTTTTTTCTTTCTTTGTATCAGGATTGGAAGTTATGCAATGAGTGCATGTTATTTCTCGATACATTGAAATTCAGTCGAATCGTTGAAAAAGAATCAACACCTAATTTTTTTGGAACATTGTAAACATAATACATCAATAAGTATCTCATGGAAGATATAATTCGAAAATTGGCACATGATAATCACATACTTAAATCTGAATGGAACAAAATTGAAATAGAATTATAAGAAAAATGTGACAAAGGTAATATATCATCGATTCTGAATGCTCTTGCTGACTATGTTCTTAAGAATCACAAACGTAATATCCATCGAAACTAAAACTTACATTTGTTACACGTGTTGTTGATGCACTTGATTATAGAAATAAGAAAAAAACCAATAAATAATTTTTTGATCATGTTTTTCAAGTTTTTTTACGAGTATTTGATCAAGGTCGAATTTATCTATGGCATTTGACTTTTCTAAAACAACTTTATCAGCATTTTGAAATGGGAGAATATCTCTCACAAAGAATGATACTTATTGAACAATTACTTCTTAGTCTACAGAAACATTCATTTACACTCACAACTAAAAATCAATTCATATTAAAATCTTGGGAATATTTCTGATATGAGAATGTTTTCGATAGTGCTTTATTGAATGAGAAAAATTTTGAAACAATGAAAGAAAAATTTTAACAACTTTACTAATGTCCGCGCCATAATGAAAGAGGGATGGGTGTAAGCGCAATATCTCGATAACGGCAATAGTTAGCGACCTGCGGTTTTCATCAATTGAAAGAGGGCAAGTCGCGATATCTTTTTTTTCCGGCCATCTAAAAGTCGAAATCCTTTTAAAACTAATCATCTTCGAAAAACATGTAAAAGAATGCATGAAAATGACATGCCACCTAAGTGAAATTTTGATTTTGATCTTTGATATAGATAGAGGGACCTGAGATCTATAGTTCAAGATTCAATGCAAATGGTTCTCTTATTACATTCCAAGGTTGAACAAATGGAATCATTTATTTTCATGCACAAATCATAGGGAGTTTTGCTGGTTTTTTACTAAGTTTTCACACTTTTTACCATAATAGCTTGACATTTCGATGAAAACTTAATGAAAAGTAAGAAAGCGTATTTTATCTTAAACTATAGATCTCAAGTCCCTCTATCTAAATCAAAGGTCAAAATCAAAATTTCAGTCAGGTGACAGGTCATTTTCATGCATTCGTTTCCGTATTTTTCGAAGATGATTAGTTTTAAAAGGATTTCGTCGTATACATGATCGAGAAAAAAGATATCCCAACTTCTTCTCTGTCAATTGGTGAAAGCCGCAGGTGGCTAGCTATTGCCGTTATCGAGATATTGCGCTTACACTCACCCCTCTTTCATTCTGGCGCGGACATTAGTGAACTTTTATTGTAGTTTTCTGTATTCGTTTGCTTTAAGTCTATTAATGGTATTTCCTTCAAGTTTTAAAACGATCTGATATTCGAAAGATAAAATATGGAATATGTTCCTTGTAGCCTTAAAAGCTTTGTATAGATTTAATTGTTAAACCAAATTTGATACAATTTAAAGTGAACAATGGTTCATTAGTTTATTGTTAGGGAGAAAAGTTTTTTGAACACTTAGGTATATATGTTCACTTCATCTATTCATATCTTTTCTATTTTTCATAGAATATACTCTAAGTTAAAATTCAACTTAGTAATATAATTGAATAACTCACAAATGAAGCCTTTAGTTGTTTATATTTTTTTATTCAAAGAATGATACATAATAGTTTTTAACAATTTGAAAAACAAATGGTATAATAAAGTTATCTGATAATAATTATAATTCTTGAAAAGAGAATTTCAATAGAAATGCGTCTTTTGCATCCATAAATCGAACAGAAATTTTTTCAAAACGATTAATAAAATTTAAATCATGATTTGAATCAATATTATGTGATAATTCATGACAAGCAACCATAAAATAGAAGTTAACTATCTTTCGAACAATAGGAATTGATGAAGATAATGATATAGAATTTTCAAGATGTAACTTAAGATCATCGAAAAATATTTGTTCAAAATAACGAAGATTAAAAAATAATGCACCATTACTATTGAAAGCAATACGAGCTTAAACAAAATAAAAAGATTAAAAAATAAAATAAAATTGAATATTATTATTTTATATGTATATTTACCACTCTCAATATCACGAAATAGATGCATTGTTTCTATCGGTATAGTAAATACTTGTTTTGCAAGACCAGATAATAACCAAGCAAGTTGTTTACCCTGATCAATAAAAATATCTGTTAGTTTTACATTACGATTAATATAAAGAGAAATGCCATGAAGAAGTTTATCATAACGTATCATATTTGAAGCTGGAACAAATTCACATGAACTATTATTTTCAGTTTTAGAATGTTCTATTTGATTGAATTCCATTTGAGAATAGGATCGTGTCGTTCGAATCGTTCTATCAATGTTAGCATCATCTGTAGATTTATATCGTCCAAAATTATCAATACGATTTGTTTCAATTGTACTTGAAATATTCTCAACAGATTGACTTTGAGAAGGACGAGAAGACAAAGAAGAAGGAGAGGAGGCGGCAGTTGATTTGGAACTATTAAACTAAAAAATAAAATAATTTAATAAGAATATATTTATAATTATTGAAGATCTATATATGTATGTGAATTGTACGAGAATACTACAGTCATTTAAAGGCTTCATTCTTTGATCTAATATTTTCAATCATGATTAACTTATTCTCCACTCTTATATTTTTGTTACTCTGATTATCAATCTTTCGCAATCAATTAATAAAATATCTTACTCTTTTAAATTTTGAAAAAGTCCTCGCGATAGTTGTAAATTTTGTTGATGCTCTTCTTGTTTATTGTTAATTTGTTTTAGAAATTCTTGTTGATAATATTGTTGAAGTTTTTCTACTTCTAATGTTTGTTCTTGCTGTTGTAATGGTTGTTTTTGTCTAGGAATTATTCGTTCTTGAGATTTCTTTTGAGAATTTTGTTGAACTTGTGCTTCTTGTTGAATAGATCGTATTTGTTTGGTCTCTTCTGTTTTTATTTGTGAAATTGGTAATGAAAATTTAATTGCTTTAAAAAATAAAAATAAAAACAAATTTTTAATTCTTAAAGAAATACGATAAGGTAAGGCTAATATTACGTTGTTGTTCGGGATTTTTCAATAATCGATCAACAGGAATTCCACGACGTTTAAGTGTTTCTAATGGAGAAGCAAGTTTATCACTGATTGAATAAACTAATGTATCAAGTGGTGTTTTACAGACAAATCGTGTTAATTCAGTACCAATATCAATGTAATCAAGTGTAAAAATATCTTTGTGAATATATAAACATACTTGATTTCTTTCATGTTTAAGTGCACATGAACTACATTCTGTAGACTTTAATTAGAAACAAAAAAAATTCTTTTCTTATATAAGTTAAATAAGAAAATTTAAAAAACAAAACAGCATACACTTAATGTTGTTGTTCTATTTTGAAATGTTAATTGACATTGAATTCCTTCAGCTTCATAAACTGAAAATTGTTTTCGTAATAATTCAATACGTTTTTTCATCAATATTTTTCATAGATTCTCCCTAGAACAAAAAAAAAAAGTATTCGTATTAAAAATATTAATTAAATATAATTATACTCTATTATTAACAAATAACATATCTAAACGATGATGAATTCGTTCACGTAATTTTTTACTTCTTTCCGTTATCATATATCGTCCTAAAAACAAAACAAAAGAATTTGAAACATAAAAAAAGTAGTTCATTTTGTTTTTTGTTTGCAAATATAAACCTCGATGTACTAAAGTTCGTTTAACACATTCTGATATCTATTTTGAACCAAATTTTTCATATAATTTAATTAATTCTAGTTCATCAGGTGCGCATAATAATCGAAGATCAATTGCAGATTCATGATCATCATCTAAATAAATCTCACTTGGTTTAGCAATTTTAAATATTTGATATTTTGTTCCATCAGATCGTTCAAGTACTTGATAAGCTAAACATCATGGTTTATTAATTAAACGACTACATAATGGTTCAATATATAATTGTTGTGTTACATTTGATACAGCAGATAATTGTTTTAAACAATTTGTATAAAAACGTACTTTAGCTGATATAAGTTCTTCATTATTATCTTTAGTTTGATTAAAATATGTTTGTTGTCGTTCAATAGGTAAATCTGAAAGATTTTCTGCTAATGGATAATGAAGAACTCCAATACTAAGAAGAAATGAATTAGCTTCAGAACCATAATCAATAAGACCATGTGCAGCTATATCATCTAATGTATTATTACTATTATTATCTTGAGATATTTTATCAATTATTGAACTTTTTGAACAAATAAATACTTATGATGGTTTCATATAGATATTATTTCCTAAAAATATGTATATTATACATTTAATTATAATATTAAACTAAAGAAAAATAAAACAAACCTGATAGAGGTATAAATGAAATATTTGAAATTTTTTGAATAAATGCTGTATTAAGACCATCTAATTTTTTAAAATAAGAAAAATATTTAGTAGCTATTTGAGAATTTAATAATTGATTTCTTTTTCCTATTAATGCTTCAAAAGCCATTGGTAGAGAAGGATGATTTTGAATACCAAATAAATCAATATTAAAATATCGTGAAAAACATCGAACTACATCAGGAAGTAAAGATGGAAATAATGGACTTAATTCTAATATTATTTAAAAAACAAACAACAACAACAAAATTTATATTAAAATGAAAATTAAATTTACAAAACAAACCTTTAAATACAATTTCAGGTGTTGTTAATATAACTTCTGTTGAATGATTAATATCAGGAATAGATGATGGAAGAAAAGCTTTTTTAATATTAGCTTTTTCCCATAATTTTAAATAATGTTCTTCAAAATGTTCTGCAAAAAAATACAAGTGATTTTGGTAATTGATAATCAGTTTTTAATTTTGATCCATTATTATGTTCTACATCAATACGAATTATTAAATTATGTACATCTGGTACTTCTCTAACGTCAAGTTCTTTAAGAAAAGAATATTCTTGTGAATGTGGATTAATATCCATCCAATCGATTATTAATAATTCATTCCAATTAAGACGTTTTGCTACCGATGGAAAATGAAGTTCAGTTGGTTTATATTTACGTTTTAGTTCATCATTTGATTCTAACGTTGTTCCTATAAAAAATAGTTTTAAAAAGAAAATATTTATAAAATTTATTTTTTTAACAAATAGATTTTGATCACATATTAATATCTGTGATAAGTTTCTCGGTAAGGAAGAAGAGATCTCCCTTGTGTCCTGATTCCGCAAAAAAACTTCAGGCCTTCTGCTGAAATTTTTGATAATATTTTTCTCCGGAATTTTTAAAGTCAAGTTTAGCAGAAAACTTCTGGATCTACTAGAATAAAATAAAATCAAAGATGCTTATTTTTTTTTTAGTTTTTTCTTAATATATCATCTCTTCCATTACCACCAAGTGTATTATCATCGAATATTGTTGGTCATATATCTCGTGAAGATTTACAAAGACGATTATCATTATCAGCTATTTCAGCGAAGAATTTAATTGAATATTATCTTGCTGAAAATCAATTACATCTTTTTCATAATGAAAATACATCTAAAATTCTTCTTAGNATTTTCTCAATTCTTTATTGTTTAACGGTGGCTCCATATGCTATTGTTTCTTTCATCGGTCTATTCTGGGGCTTATCTAAACGTGCCGTGTATATGCAAACAGTATACTTCTATTATTTGTTTTGGTTACTTGCAACACTATTGCCTCTTGTATGCATCGTCTCCATCTCTGAAGTGAAAAAAAAGATTAAAAAAGCGCTTACACAATTCATTAGACGAAGGAACATTGTGATGCCTTTTCCGATGCATCTGATTCATAATCGAACTGCAAATGTTTTTCTTACTGCATTGTATCGACCAGCTGTTTAAAGTCTTTTTGCAGAAAATTGTTCATAATCATTGTGACATTGTTATGATGTGATGTCTAAAATAATTATCTTATTCTCAAGAAAATTGTCTCGAAAAGGAATATGTTTGAATATGGTTGAGGTCACTTTGAAGACTTCTAGTCAATATAATGAATGAAATTCTGAAGGATAATCAAACCATTCGAGCAAGGTGATGACTCGAGCACGATGTTAAGATTTACTACCTTATCTTAGGCTCTGTGTTGACATGCTTTCCGAAAATGTGACTATACGTACAACGATTACAAAAGCGGACAGATTGATTTACCATTTATAAGTCCTTATTAGTTGAAATTCGGAAGTCGATTGACTTTCACTAGTTTTCTTATTGGCTTTAGGGTGCTGAAGCAAATCAATTTTTATGATATTAATCACCAAGACATAGGAGTTTAAAAGATTTGGTTTGAGAAATCCTTAGTTTTTCATAATTATTTGCCATTCTAAACGTTAAATTATTTACAAATCCATCATGATCTAAACGTAAATTTTTTTTTTCACAATTGCTAACACTTTTTTCTCAGCAAACTTGACCTGAGTGACAGAAACTTCCAATTGCTTACAGTTTTCAGTTTATGCTTATATTACTGGAATATTCGAAAAAGATGGATATGATTTTCTTCTGTTTGTTTAGATTCACATCTACTCGATCTATATTTCTTTTTTGGTTCTACGATCACTCAATTTTGTATATCATTATATTTATAGACGGTTAAGCATTGAAGAAGATGAAACGAAAGAGAAAAGAAGAACAAAGAGAACATCAAGAAGATAATATACATTGAACATACAATATAATCTAGTATAATCAGCACATATCGTAAGGAAATAAATATTATTAAAAATTTATTATTTTGATATTAGTTGACATATGATCAAATAGCATAATAAAATATAGCATTCTTCTCTGTATTCGGTTATATAGCAGGCAGTCCATATAAGCCACAACCTAACTGGCTCAACTTAAATCGTCCAATTTTCTCCATTCAAAATATGTTGTAAGAGAAAGAGTTTCAAAAATTGTGACACAAACTATTTGAAAAATGTTACTTCGTTTTCGAGGTATTAAAATTTTTCTCAGGGTACTATCGTCAAAAGAAGCATATTTTTTTTGTGATTTTTTTATGACATCTCTATCTCATCAAGGTTACTTGCAACTGACTTGACGTTTTTATTGTGAAAGGATATCATAATTTCGTATTAGTAGAAAAAAGTGTAGGTATTATTTTCACTTGTATTCACATTCACATCAACCTTCACACATTCAAAAGATGAGTTGATTTCTTAGTTTCTCGTTGATTTTGAAATCTTGAAATACCAATCATGTTTCCATTTTTTTACCTGTGATTTACTTGATCTCAGGTGTTTTCTCTGCGTCGAGTGACACTTGTGAATTATCAGCAGTTTGAGTATTTAACGGGCACTTTCTCAGAGTTTTGCCATAATTTTCATATCTATGATAATCTACAATGATCAGACGAAAGTTAGATGTTCGATGACTTTCTTAATACGTACCTTCAAAATCGAACAGTTCTATCAAACTTTGTCTATCGATTACACGGGTTATATTATGATGTTCAGTTTGGATCTCATGGTCTTTAAAAGATGTGAATGAATAGTTGCTTTTGCTAGCTTGAATAGTGCCTTGTTAGAAGAAAACACAAATAAGAAAACACTGTAACACTGCATAAAGTAATTAGCAAACATAAATTACCTTCGTCTTTCGAGCCAAGAGGATCATATTGATTTTGTCGTAGAATAATTCGTTTTTGTCTAAAAGAGACGGAGTCTGCAGATTGTGTCTTCTTATATTTTTCTAAATGAAAAAAATTTTGTTTGAATTACAGCTTACATTCGACCAGTAGATCTTGTATGTCCAACATATAGTTTTATTTTTTGACTTTCTGTACATGCTAACTGTATGCGTTGTTTTGCAATTGCATGTGTAACAAATCGTAAATCATAAGTATTATACTATGATAAGAAAAAGCAAGACAATTGTCATTTGCATATAAAACAGACGTTATTCTGTGATTTTACCATGGATGATATTTGCAACAATCGATCACACAGATCTAATTGTTCATTAGTTTGTCGTTGACTGATTTCTGTGATAAATATACCGTGATCTCTTCAATGATAAAAATATAATATGTTTTAACAGAAATAAAGTAAAGTTAATGATGGCACTTACTCTCGAAAATATTCACTTCCTATTCCACCAGAAATTGTAATGCCTAGTTTTCCATTATGTTCTAGTTCGATCTCTTCACAAATTGTTGGTGACAAACGACGTATCAACTGGATAAATGATTCGAAAAAGAATTTATTCTAAAACATCTTATGCATTCATCTCGAAGTCACTTACCAATTGAACTTTGTAGCCTGAATTTCTTAAGACATAAACAGCTGTTTGATGTTTAATTTTTGTAAAATTCACACCATTTGCACGTAATATAATATCATATAATCTGAATTAATAAACTAATCACAAACAAAGATCGCTCACAGAATTCGAACTTATTTACTTCAACCGTTTATCTCTATGTGCAAGACTATTTTCAGTAATATATGTAATAATAACAGATGTAAAACGATGATCAAGAAAAGGCATATCAATACCTCCAGCAATAGTAATTCCCAATGATTTTTCATCAATATTTGACTGTGAATAAAGAAAGAAACCAAGATCTTCGTATATATCTATATAGAATAAGTGCTACAAACTCTCTCAAGATTAATTTCTTCTTCTTGCCAATGATCTTTGTAATTAAATTTTATAATATTAGACATAGCACTCAGTCAAAAATATGTTTTTGCTTGCGTTTATCTTGTGTGACGAAATAAAGTATGCAAAGAAAGCGTAAATCGTTGAGTCGTTTTTCTTTCCGATCGAAAAAAAAACTACTTAAAAAGGTTAAACTATAAAGAAATGACGAACGAAAAGAAGGGATATTTATTCAAGATAAATGTAATATTTCTTATCGCAAAATCGATGAAATATTAAAATGGAAAAAGCATGGGCTGTTCGTATTTCAATTATGAAAGAAACCGAACACTCTCTTATTATAATCCTATGACATATGCATAACGATTGTCTTTCACAGTCTGAAAAAGACAAAATACAGATTTTAATAAAACAATGTGATACATTACATGGAACATTGGAGAAATAACTGTAATCTAGAGTGAAGATGAGGCACTGTTGAGTCTGGAATCGACTAATATATAAATTAAAATAAATAAATTGATTTTAACTCCAGCACGTTTATAAATCTATCATTGATTTATGAATGTATGAATGGTTTATTAATATCTGGCCATTTTATAAACCTACTATTGATTGATAAACTGAGTGGATCCCTATGGTATCTGGATGTGTGATGTCGACATCTTTATTATCTTTCATCACATTCATATCTGGATGTTCTGAAGAAATCAGCTAGTCTTCTAGTGAAATTTGTGTTTTACTATATAATCTTTTCTTTCCTCTGAAGATGATGATGTGAGAAAATAGCCACTTGATTACCAGCAAGATACTTCATACAACAATGTCTGGTTGATTGTCGTTATCGAAATTATTAACATCGAGCGAAACCACCATATAGAATTTGATTTAAATCTTCAAGATATTCTAAATTTTAAACAAAGTCATTTTAAAAAGTATTGAGCTCTCGATTTCAAAGCATCATTTGGCCAGAAGCCAAGAAATTTTTATTGACAATAATGATTTCATTGTTACTATTCTGATTTGATTTCCTTATTTTTCTCTTTGTAGAATTATTTTGGATCCAATCCAGATCTATTGGTTTGATTTTGATCGATCAATCGCTTGGAAAACGAAGATAACGATTATGTTTGTTAAGATAAGATAAGATAAGCCGGGAAAAAATGTTCTAAGATTCTGAGATGACTGAGAAGTGACCAAAAAATAGGTGTATCATATTTTTAAAAATTAAGTTTATTGATTATCTTACGGCAACTATCTGATAGAGATCCGTGCCAATAACCTAAAAAGTACTGCAATAGCCTATATGAGAATAGCGATTTAAGTTCTTTTGTTTCGTGTTATTTGTGTCTTATTAATCCCACCCAGTGTCATACGGGATCCGGGCTTTTCATCGAACAAGAAAAATTTTCAAAACTTTTTTCTGAATTTTTTTCTTTTTTCTTTTTGTCCATTGCATCAAAGGTTTCTCTCATTATTTACTGTTATGCCGTATGTCAATACTTTCTATTTATCAGCACCATGTATACAGTAAGAAAATGACAAATTCAAGCAAAAAAAAACACATTGCTTTTTCATATTACTTGTTTGTCAGTTATTTAGGGGCGAAAAGCTATTAAGAGCATATAATAGAACTCGTTGAAAACTATGATGGGAAATTTCGACTTAAGAAATGAACTTAACTAGTGATTCAATAGAGGACTTCAAATAAAAGCGTTGAAGGATAAATCACTTAAAGTGTATTTACATCTCGATATATATTTTATTCTCAATGACTCTATCGGCACCTATTATACACGTAAATATGAACAATTAGCGTAAGCGTGTGAGAGAGTTCTCTAGTACTCCTTCCAAATGTATCATCCAAAGAGTAAAGCAATTACGCAATATTTTGTTTCGAAACATCTTTTCTTGTCAAATGACAGAGGAATAAAACAAATGAGGGTGTAACAGCAAGGTTCATCTCATGAAGAATAAAGAGAAACCTTTTCTGACTTAAAATGGGCAATAATACTAATGATTGAGATTGTGGATATATATTCAATCTTGACCGACACACACATATGAATACATCACATCTAACTCGCACCATCAAATAACTGACAAATAATTTGTTTTTCTTTTCTGTGAAGATGTTTTTTAGTTATGATATAGTTTAATTTTGAAACAAAAGACAATAAACAAAAAATATTTGACAAAAGTTATTAAAAGGAAAACTTGGATGAAAACGTTTCTTTGGCATCCATAAATCTAACGAGAACTCGTTCAAAACGATTAATGAAATTTAAATCATGGCTTGAACCGATATTATGTGCTAATTCATGACACGCGATGATAAAATAAAAATTCACTATTGTACGAACAATTGGAATGGATGATGAAGCATTCGGAAGATGGAACCGTAGATCATCGGTAAATACTTGTTCAAAATAACGAAGATTGAAGAATAATGCACCGTTACTATTGAAAGCAATGCGTGCTGAAAAAAAAAGAAGGATTAGAACATCGAATCGAATCATCTCACAATGTAATTACTTACCACTATCAATATCACGAAATAGATGCATTGTTGATTCAGACATGTGAAATACTTGTTTAGCAAGACCAGATAGTAGCCAAGCAAGTTGTTTCGCTTGATCAATCATAAAACTTGTTAATGTTACATTTCGATCAACATAGAGAGCAATTCCATGGAGCAGATTTTCATGACGAATCATATTTGCAGCTGGAACAAATTCACATAAATTATTAGTTTCACGTCTCGAATATTCCGATCGGTTGAATTCTGTTTGTGAATATGGTCGACTTGTTCGAATCATAGCATCGATATCAATTTCATTCGAAGATTGATGTCGTCCAAAATGGTAAATACGATCTCTTTCGACTCGACTTGAAAGATTCTCAATAGGATCAATCGAAAGGTTAGAAGAATGTCGTATAGGACCCAACAAACTAAATACAAGCACGGTTTTTAGAAACATCAAAGAGACTCAAATAATTATTTCATGTCTTACTCTTTTAAACTTTGAAGAAACCCATTTGAAACTTGATACTTCTCTTGAGACTGTCCTAGGTTTTGATCAATTAATTCTACCGATTGTTGATGATGATGATGCTGATCGTGTTGCATTTGTTCTTGATATTGTGATGGATACTTTTGTATATTCTTCTCTGTCTTTGTTTGTTCGCTTCGTAATGCCAATTTAATCGCTAGGAAAACAATTATCTTTAGTTATTGATTAATCGAACTAATTTAAAGAAACTTACGCTGTTCTTGTACAGTTTTCAACAATCGATCAACAGGAATGCCACGGCGTTTCAATGTTTCTAATGGAGAAGCAAGTTTATCACTAATGGCATGAACTAGCGCATCAAGTGGTTTTTTATGAACGAATCGAGTCAATTCAGTAGCAATATCGATATAATCGAGTGTAGGAATATCTTTGTGAATATATAAATTAACTTGATTTCTGTCATATTCGAGTGCACATGAGCTACAATCCGTTGACTTGAATTAAAGAAAAAGAAAAATATTATTATTTTTTTACTTCAATTCAATAGAAAGAATGTCTTACATTTAAAGTAATTGTTCTATACTGAAAAGTTAATTGACATTGAATTCCTTCAGCTTCATAAACGAAAAATTTTGTTCGCAGTAATTCGATACGTTTTTCATCAATATTGTCCAAATATTCTCCCTAAAAGAAAATATTGAAAAATCATGATCTTTTAAAATCATTAACTTTACTCTATTATTAACAAACAGCATGTCCAAACGATGATGAATTAAAGCATGCAGTTTTTCGCTTCGATCCGTCGTGAAAAAGTTTCCTTAAAAAGTCAAAATATCTTTATATAAAATGTTAAGTATTCAAGCCAAACAACGAGTTATTGGTTAGTGCATTAAAGGCTAAGCGACACTGGGAAACTTATAGTTTGTGACACAGATAACCATGAAGCGTTCTTTTTTTCTTCTTTTTCTTTATGTACAAGAGAATATTATTTAGGCCGACAGTCAGAGAATGTTGCGAACTTGTGGCTGTACAATGGAATTTCATGTTCAGTCCATTGAAATAAATGAAGCTCAAACTGTAGATGATAAGTCAATGAATGAGTCATTCGCTCTCTGCATACCAAAGAGAAAGTAACATTTTATGCACCAAACTATGAAACTAAAAGTATCTGAGTTTATGATAGTAAGCTGAAAGAAGTGCAGTTAGTTTTTAACATCGATTTGAAGCAGACACACAAACCTCTATGGACTAAAGTTCGTTTTACAGCTTCTGATAACCATTTTGATCCGAATGTTGCATATAATTTTGTCAATTCAGGTTCATCTGGTGCACATAATGGTTGAAGATCGATGGCCGATTGATGATCATCATCTAGATAGATATCATTTGGTCTAGCAATTTTAAAAGTTCGTTCTCTAGTTCCATCTGAGCTTTCAATTATTTGATAAGCTAAACACCATGGTTTATTCATTAAACGACTTCTTAACGGTTCAAAATTGAATTGTTGTGCTATGTTTGAGACAGACGCTAATTGTTTCAAACAACTAGTATAAACACGTATTTTTGCTGCTATCATCTCATCCGTATTCTCTTGTGTTTGAGCAAAATAAGATGCTTGCCGTTCGATTAATAAATCAGCCAGATTTTCCGCAGATGGATAAGAAAGTACTCCAATACTGAAAAGAAATGAATTCGCTTCAGGACCATAATCAACATAATCAATAAGACCACACATTGCCACATCATCAATCATATTAATATTTTGATCTGGAGATATTCCACTAGAGAATGAATTTTTCGAACGAATAAATACCTGAGATGGTTTAAGATGAGTAGAACTGCCTAAAATGAATGAATTTTATTATTAATTAAACTGATTAATAAACAAAAACAAACCTGGTAAAGGAATAAATGATTTATTGGCAACGTTTTGAATAAACGCTTTACTAAGACCATCTAATTTATTTAAATAAGAAAAATACGTTGGAGCTGATTCGGCTGTTAACAATTGATATCGTTTGTCCATCAAAATATCAAAAGCTGTTTCTAGTTGAGGACGATATTTTACACCAAGCAAACTAATGTCAAACCATTGTGAAAAACACCGAAGAACATCAGGTAATAAAGATGGACACAATGGACCAGGTTCTAATTGCAGCAAAAAATTGACATGAATTCTACTAAACGTAAAAATCTAAAACATACCTCTATATACTAATTCAGGAGTAGTAAGAATAACTTCCATCGATTGATTCATCTCCGGTGGTGATGAGGGCAGAAAAGCTGTTTTAATACGAGCATTTTCCCATGATTTCAAATAATATTGTCGAAAATTTTCTGCAAAGTAAATCAATGTATGTGGTAATTTATAATCTGATTTTGTTCTAGATCCTCGATAATGTTCTTGTACAATGCGAAAGATCAATTCATGTAAATCAGGTGCTTCTCGTACGCCTAGTTCTTTGAGAAGAGAATATTCTTGTGAAAGTGGATTAATATCCATCCAATAAATAATTGGTAATTGATTCCATTGAAGACGTTCAGCAACTGATGGAAAATGAAGATCACTTGGTTTATATTTACGTGTGATCTCACCATTGAATTCCAATGTTGTTCCTGAACGAATGAGAAAAAAAAACATGTTACAGACAAATTTGCAATGCATATGAAGTTCAGTTTTATTTTATCTTCAGTGGCTTCAAGATTTAATTTCAATGGGATCATTCCTTGGTAAAAAAGAGAGAAAAATTAGCTATGAGGAGGCATCGCATTCGATCATAATGCTTCTGTCAATTTTGACATGTTCATTTCGTTCGTTCTCAACTCATACCGCTTTTCTTCTTATTTGCTCTTTGTTTATCTTGCCTGCATTGAACACTTCAGTGGAGTATGAAGTCATCACATTTTTGTCCATTTTGGTCATCTACTCAAAACTATCAGAATTTGTCTACAACATCAATTTTAACTTACCATTCACATTTTCATCCTGAAGATAGATAGTTTTGTTGTATAGACATGGGTGTTACCATACCTTGCTCATATAAAAATGTAAGGAACAGAGAATTCTGTTTTGAAATGGAATGTTTGGTAATCGATGCGTTCGATACATTTCAGAATCACACAAGAAGAAAAAGTTTAATAGAGAATACTATTTCAAAAATATTCACTAATTTGAAGTCTTAACTCCAGTATTTTGATGAGATTGAAGCAGGACTTCCAAGCGACATATCTAAGATTACTCGCCATTGATTATAATTTTTACTCTCATAGCCTAAAGATAAGTTAATATGGTAAAGCGAAGGAGAGATTATCTATAGTGAAGGGCATAAAATCGCCCAGGTTTAACAAAGAATAGTTAATCTTCACATTAACTACCTATCATCTGCTATATATGAAAAAATAGAAGTAATCTCTTCACCGTACCAAGTCAACCTACTCATCCAATGGACAATAGAGCAGCTTTGGAAAACAATATACACGAAAAGAGATAGCTTTTTTTGTCATGGATTCAGGTCGGTATGAGCAAGTGTCATAGAAAGAAAGCCGTCTCTTTTGTTCGTTGAATTAGAAACTCAACTAACCTATGAGGCATGGATTCTTTTTTAATGCTTGAAGATCTGTATCGCTCATAGTTTTCCGTTGTTGTAATAGATTTTGAATAAAACTTTGCAATGTTTGACTATTATCGGATGAATCAGTCGATCGACTACTAAAATGATATGACATTGTTGGAACATGAATTGTTCGACATCCAATCGATTTGAGAAATTCAATAGATGCGGGATAATCCACAGATTCTTGTGCATCATCCATGGAAATTTGTGGAAGGTACAGTGTAATAATAGGTAAAGTAGCAGATAAATTCGATGAACGAATATAGGATTCTGTAGGTATTTTCATTCCTTGACTAGTTGGAATACATTTCAGTTTGGATAGGATGCTTTTGATTTTATTTGATTCGCTTTCATTGAATTGAGTCCAACGTTGAGAAATAAAACTTAGAAGAATTTTCGATGTTGTTTCATTCTCAAACAGATATTGTTGATTACCAGCAAGATAAAATTCGATTAAATTTTTTACAGATACTCCTGATAATAATAATCGTCTTTGTAAATCTTCTCGAGATATATGACTGGCGATATTAAACGGTAAGACATTGGGAGGAAGTGGAAGAAACGATATATTTAAAGTATCATAAAATTCAATTTTTTCTAATTGAATAATAGGTGATTGACAAGTTTCACGATAGTATACTTCTGAAAGAATTTCTTTGATATAAGATCTATTAGTAATATCATTTGTACATAACCAACGAAGTAGTCCAATGAATTCATCAAATAAAAGAATAGATTCATGAATTTTTGCTGAGATTGTTTCATGATCAATTTCTTGAATCTGTTGACGACGTTTTAGCATTTTAAAAAAATCATTTTGTCCAATATCAAATGGAACAAGTGATACAGGAAGAAATGTTTGAATATGTTTCGAAGTACTAAGAAATGCTTCACTAGATGGAATCAATGAAAGATGATTGTCAGATGGAGATCGTCCAACTGGTACAAGTATATCCTTATCCGATGAGAAAAATCCATCGAGAAGAATGCGACCTGTACAAAACAAACAAAAATTTAATTGGAAATATCGAAATCGATATAATATACAAACCAATATCCTTATTTGGTACTGATGCTTGAAAAGCATAAGAAGAAAGAATAGCATTGAGTTGCTGAGTAGTATGTTGTGAATCATTATTCATGCCATCAAGCATTGTTTGATCATAAATAAATCGAACAATATTTCCAATAGATGCAAGAAGTTGTTCATTCCAAATAGAGATATATGGATCTTGTAAATCAATATTTTCACGTTCAATCGTTGGAATTAAATGACTAAATACATGTATACCAATGCCTGTTGATTGATGTGTAGCTACACCAATGAAAATTTGACCAGATGGAAATATTTCTCCATCGTGAAATCTCAATGGAATTAGACGTTTTAATATTTGATTATTTAAATGATTATTTGTTAATATTTTCCATTGTTCTTCTTCAAATATCTAGAAAAAATAGAGAACAATGAGAAGATCAAGATAGATGTAAATGAAAGAAAACTTACAGTATTCGATGGAAATAAAAATTCAATATGTATGATTGAAGGTAAACTTTTTTTCAGAACACTTTGAATTTGTTTATGAAGATCTTCATCAATCATTACTTCGGCTTCAACATCAATATGATTCAGAGTAATTGATGGACCATTCATGATACAAAAAGTTTGTTCAGTTTGAACACATGACTTGAAACGAAGTAAATTATTTTCATTAGTTTTTGTTGCCAAAGATAATTTCATAGATGATAAAGATTTTCTCGTTTTAGTTACTCGAAAAATAACGACATCATTTAATTGAATAATTATTTCATTAATATATTTAGTAAATGAAAGAACTTTGGTAAAATAAGCTTTTAATTGTGTTAAATCTAATATAGGTACTATTTCATTTGTTGTATTATCTTTCTTTGATTTTGTTGCTCTATTACTATTTGTTAAATTTTCGTTCATTATTTCGTCGATTTCTAATATTGATTGTGTCTGTAAAATATATTTATCCTTCATGGTAAGAATAATTGAAGTCGATGAAGAATGTTGATCAGTTGGTAATTCTTTTCGAAATGTAGTCAATGATTTTCCATTTTGCCAAACAAAGGCTAGACAATGTTTTCCCGATTGTATCATCGGTCGTTCCGAATAAGAAAAAACTGAAAAGAAACCAACACCAAATTGTCCAATAGCATCAACATTAGTATTTCCTTCAGCGATTGTAATTACTCTTTTCCAATCATCGTCACTAAATATATGCCCATTATTGATAGTACGAATTTCAGTTATGATACAATTGTTAAAATCATTCTCAAATGGAGATATATCATTAATGATTGAATTAGAATCAAATGTATGGTGTTCAATATCTTCTAACGGATTGTTGGATTTCATTGAATTCATCGTTGAATAATCTTTAGTTTTTGATTCATAAATTGATGTTGCAGTAGATGGATCACAAGTTATTTTAAGAATAAATGAAGTCGCTTGAGCATCATCAGAATTTTGAATTAACTCACGATAAACAACAAAATCAGATGAATAACGAGCTAACATTTTATCGATTAACATGCGTTGATTAACTTCAACACGATCTTCCACACCTTCTTTGATTACTTTTAACCATAATTGATCTGACGATAAACTTTCCTGAATAGTATCTTCAATCATTGTTTTTGTTAATTGAAAATCTAATCTAAAATATTTCTATTTTTTTTTCATTTATGAATTCTTTCAAAGATTGATCAGAACCAATGACATAATATTTAGAAAAAGTTTCAATCGGTTATAAAGTCTACAAAGAGAACTCATTCTCAAATGAAAAATAGGAAACTCAGGAAGATATTTTTTTTCTAAATATCTGACCAATTTTATAAACTTACTTTATTCTTAACCTGTATCAAATATCTATCAAAAGAATTCCATACTAATCATAAATGATTTCTTTTCTTTAAAATCTATGCTCATTGATAGTGGAACTATAGCGAACGGTTGGAACATGATTCTGTCTAACTCGGTATTAAGTTGTAACATAAGTGTTCTGCAAACTGTTTTTCTTTTTATTTAATGACAAAGATACGCAACACTAATCATCCACTATAATCGCCATTATTTTCGACAAAGTTTGCCCATCTTTCTGATAATAGTTCAATGTCACGTTTGTAGAAACTAGCCAGTTGTGATTCGAAAAAAGACGATGAGATCGAAATTGAGCTCACGGAAATCTTCGTAGTATTTCTTGGACGAATAGTTTCAAAGAAATCGAAACGTACAATACTTTGGTGCTGCAGGATCTGTTGATAACGATGCATGGATAAGAAATTTCCACTCCAACTATCCCATTCTTGTTGAGTCAATCTGACCATATGTGGCCCTCTGTTACTGTGAAGGAAAGTGAGACATTTGCAATTCGTCGAAATCAGGCGTTCTTGACAAGAGCTTCATGTAAATACTGTTGTTGATGAAAATAGACATCGACGATGATCGTATGATTGGGTCTAAGAGTTCAAAATAGATGGCATCCTCTACATCTCATCCGATGTTAAATTTTATATTATTCAGCACATCACGTGACGTGATAAAAAAAATATATAGTGATTTATTGCAACAATACTCAAGACTTGCAGAACTTTGTTACAACTCAATATATAACTTATATATACATATAGTATTCTCTCTATAGTAATTTAAAGGCACTGTTCACGTTATTCTCGTCTTATATACTAGTATTCAATGCATGAGTCATCACAGAACAAAAACGCATGAATATACGAGAATGACGAGAAGCGAGTGTAGAAAAGAAGAATCAAGAATACGCATGATCCGTAGACGACATCTATGACTCACAGAGAGTACAAATGAGTACGCTTTCGTCATAGTAGAAATCAAACATTTAACAACCGAAGAAAAAGAAAAGTTCAGTAACGTATTGCACAACTTGTTTGATTGCACTCTGTTGACCTCTGAAAATGTGTTGAACAAACAGAAGATATTTATTTTTCATTAGAAGAAAAAATGTTTTTGAAATAAATCTGATAACAATTAGTAATATCTCTATTAATCATACTGTGTAGTGTATTTATAGAGAAAAAAATCTATGCACATCTGTGGATTTTTATTGAAAATATTAAATGAATCTTCTGTAACATATTAGAACACATACGAT